GAGAGCGGAGCTTTTTCATTGAAAAACGCTCGCAGTGAACGCAGATTGCCCCCTCGAGGACATCGCGTGCGTGCTCTTCGCCTAAACAAAAAAACGCAAAGATCATGTGTGTCATCAGGTGTCAAATAAGGAAGACACGGATCCACACATCTCCTAAAAGTCTTGCTAGTGCTCGGCGTAACAAGTGAAGAAAGATCATTCTTACCACCGGAATGCACGCTTCAAACAAAACAGTCACTGAAGACAAAGAAGAGGATGGCGTGTTCTCCCGGCGCCTCTTTATACTATGGTCGCACCAGTAGTGACGTCATAGGCTGTCGCCGGCCAACGTGTTGTTGGTGTTTTTGAATGTATGCTTCAGACACGGGTAACGACGAGGCGTTAGTGGAGAGTCCATGTCCATCTTTGATCTTCTCTTTAATGTACTGTGTGGTTCTCCTGATGGTCTCTGAGCTGTTCTCTGTGTGTGTCAGTAGTTCCTGTAAGAGTCTCTGATTAGACTCCAGTGAGACGCCCAGCAGGAACCGCAGGAACAGATCCAGGTGTCCATTCTCACTCTCAAGGGCTTTATCTATTGCTTCTCTATGGAGACTATGAACAACATCCAAAAACTGTGGTGTGTCAACATTTTTAATTACATAAATGTAAAACAAATAGAAAGCAGCGAGAAACTCCTGAACGCTCAGATGAATGAAGCTGTAGACTTTCCTCTGATGAATCACAGAGTCCTCCTTAAAGATCTCAGTGCAAATCCCAGAATACACTGAGGCGTCAGTGAGGTCTATGCTGGTCTCAATCAGGTCCTCCTCATAGAACATCACATTGCCCTTCATCAGCTGTTTGAAAGCCACTTCAGCAAGTTTCACAATCACTTCTCTGTTGGACTGTTAATTATTTTATGGCATAATGCAGACCTATTTAATCACACACAAAGAAAAGCGCCTCTCAGACAGAGCACGAGTACTGAATTCAGTTCTCTTTGGCTTTGCATGAACAGAGAAATACACACAAAATGATGTTGAATTGTCCGTTTTGACGTTTCACGTAAACACTTGCTTACATCTTCTGTAAAGGAGTTAAGTTGGCAAAATATCAGATGTGTATTAGTATCACTGTTGTCAACTCTCGCGAGAAAAATAAGCAACCAAAGCTTCAAAAATAAGCCCAAAAAAGCCCATTATTTGATTCCTATCATCAATATTATTTATTACGAATAAATGAGCCTGCAAGATATTAAACCAGGGTATCTGCAGTATTTGCAAGCTCAAATGTAAGACTTTTTAAGACCATTTTTAAAACCTGCACAAATAAAATGAATACCATATGAATGGGGTAGGGCAATGTCTATGGTAACATTAAATGTATAATAATCTAAAATACTGGCTAGTGCTGTACAGTAAAGAGTAAGCACACTGCACACTTCAAGCACAAGTGAAAATGTCTCAATTCCAGCTTTACTGATCAATAATGTTGACCGTCCCTTTGCTGCAGCTGCTGGTGATTTAATGAACGAGTTTCACATGTGACTGGGTTGTATTTACCCGCGGCGCTAACAGGCGTTTTGCTCGACTCTCTACTGTATTAAAAAGGCGTGTCGTGAATCCTTTAAGATTCTGGCCTGTTATTTAGGAGAAAATCTCTCATTCAGGAACATTTATTTTAAAGGTGTCAGATTCATTATTAAATATGATAGTTTAGTTAATGATGAAACACTCACAAAGCTTTCTGAGTGTTTGTCTGATTTCACAAACTCCTGAATCTCTCTGGACAGAGTCTGATCTTTCACTTCCAGCAGACAGAGGAACAGATTGATGGAATTGATGGATGAGAGTCCATGTCCATATTTGATCTTCTCTTTAATGTACTGTGTGGTTCTCCTGATGGTCCTGATGGTCT